TCAAGTCTACAGCTACTCTGCTGAATGACTCTTCTATGAGAGGCATCTCCCCAATGGCACTTTGGCTACCTTCCCTCTAGGTATTGTCCTTTGGCAGATGTCACATGACATGCAGAATCTACTCACATCTCTGATGACTCCCGGGCGATGGAAGTTTCTGGTGATTCTGTCTGCCATTTTCTTTGTTACTAGGAGTCCTCCCACAATTGATTCAATAGCCAACTTCATTGTAAAAACAGAATACCAGACTCAAGTGATGATCTGTTTAACTTTCCCAGTATAACTGCCTTGATAGATTCGGTATAGAACTCCCTTCTGGTTCTCTATTCTATAAGTATATTTCCCGTTTGTTTTGTGCTCGACTTTCTTCCAGGCATTGTCACAAAGTTTCTGCAGTGAAGGGTCTTTCTTCTGTGCTTCCTTCATTTCCTGCAAACCTAAATTTGGGATATTACTTTTTGATACTTGAAGGGGCTTGATGTCTTGTTTGCTCTTCTTTTCTTGAGCTCTGGTGGTGACAGCAGATGCTTCATCTATCTTCTTTCTGTCTAGTTCCTCAACGTTTCTACTACCTGGTATATTTCCTATCACCAAGTCAGTCGTGTATTGGTCCCTTGATACACATAGTCTCAAGGTCTCCTACATAATATTGAGTATCCACCTGTATTTTTGCTATGGGAAGTTTGTCACTGTCCAATCAATTAGCACACACACAGGCATACCTTGTCTGTGGTCTGATCATCGGATACTAGACTGGTTCACACTACTGCAACCAGTGTCTCGTAGAACATTCACTTTCTTGTCCCCAATATAACCTTCACATATTGGCATATTATTATTTGTTTGTCACATGCTCCCATCACTATTAGCAATGTTGATCCATTTGTTAATTTGAGGTGACCATTAGTCGTGCACTGGTCAATCATGCTTTCTTGTATTGAATTTGACAAGTAGTCTTCATTCTCTTTCTTCTGGCAGCAGCATCCATAGTGCCAGTCACTCTTTTCTTGTTTCTTACCAGTACTGTCTTTGTAAATGGCCCCAGCTGCTTTATGAAACGCGGTGGTTCGTCCTGTTAATTAATACGCGGTTTCACAAATCAAATTTAAACTAAACTAGCCAGAACATGTTACAAATCCGGCTGAGTCACCCATCAGCAATCTGGTTGTGTTTAAGTTTGATAACGAGATACCCACTTTTAGAAAATGAAACTTGAAGACGGCTTGAATGGATAATAAATTAAATTGACTATATAAATAAATAAACGACATCAAACATCCCTTCGTTTGCACCAACAAATTTCCACCAAATATTATCGAAAACATTCTCATACAACCACCGGAACAAAATCCTCAAATCTCAACCCACAAACAAAATTGAAACTAACAAACCAAACAATAACACAACATTACATTGCAGTTTACCATTCATCACAGAAACAGTTCAAAAAGTATTCACACTTGGAGAAAAACTTGCCATTAAACATAATATTTCCGTTGTCTTTAAATTCACTCAAAAACTTGGCCCCAAACTAAAATCATTACTAAATATAAATGATATATAATCGCACAATACCAATGTGTAGTAACTGTACAGAATTCTACGTCGGAGAAACCGAAAGAAACTTAGAAACCAGATTCGTATAAAATAATAAAAACCCTCCCAACACCCCGGGGTACAAAGATGCCTTTACTAAATTTTATGAGGAGGAACCCACTTTTCAGAAAATGAAAGTTCGGAGACGCCTTGAAAGGGTAATAAAGAAAACTTTATTATTAATGTAAAACGTTTCGACAAGATTGTCATCATCAGGTACCTTTATTAAGCTGTTGAGCAATCTCCGGTAACGATACGTCTTTGTTCCATACTGTACACATACCATCAACAACAAAATCAACTGTAACTCCAGAAGTATCACCAACATCAGTCGACATGGAAACCCTAGAAGACCTGTAGTTTGGGGTAGATGACCCTGAACCCTCTCACAATTAACCTCCTCCCCTCCCCAACATCACCCTCATTATCTTTACCATTAGTTCTTCATGTTCATTTATCAAAGTAAATAAAAAAAAAGTTTCATATTTTTTATACTATATTCTTTTTACAGGTTTGTATGCTTATTATTATTTATCACAGTAAAACTTGTAGCATAAATAATTATTTAAATACTTGTCAAAAATTTGTTTTTGAAAATATCTGTGAAAAAATCTTAGAACCTAAGAACTTAACCTCCTATTACCCGTTGAGTTAATACTTCTGAATACGCGATTTCATAAGACACATCATTTTCCAAGAACTCAACCACCGCGCTGTGTGTGGTTTTACTGTACTCGGGAAATATTAAATGTATCATATAACTTGTGCATATCATAAGTGTACATCAGATGTCATCTTATTCCGATAAAAAAAAATTACCACCTCCTCTTTTCCTGGATTGGCAAATAACATGTTACCAACACGTGTTTATTGATTTAATCTTTGCAAAACGAAGATAAAATTCGTCAGGGAAGAGAGCGCAAATTTGTGTAAGAATAAGTTACACAAACTTGCCCTCACAAAAACTCAGTTGGCTAGCTTAACATCAACAGATCCATTTATATCAATCACTTGACACTTTTTTTCAGTCAAAGAAATATATGAAAAGTTTGTTAGATAAGGAGTACCCACTCTTTCAGCTACACTCATCAACATAAGCATGAACGATCGATGCTTGTGTCAAATGAAATCATAGGCATCATAATTGAATATTATTTTAGGGAAATCGACAAAATAATCGGTTAAATAATTATTAAATAGATTTTGGAGCCTCGTCATCTCCTCGCAGTCTTTCTCGCCATGTCCGGTATGCTTTTCCTGACGACTGCCCTGCAGCATAGTTTTCATTGTAAAAGGCTGACATGTCCAAAGCACACCACTCCTCTATGCTAGTTTCCATAATCTATCTAGCGTATGAGGACGACGGTTTTCCAGTGCCCATTTCAACAGTCAAATCACCATAAGCACCGTATCCAGCGACTTAATCAGTGTTTTTGAATGGAATAAAAGAAATACCGTTTGATTCCTCAGCTGCTTGAGGTATGCGACAATTGAATGGGTATGTCGTGGTATCCCCTTGTGTACCCGTGGTTTGTGTGACTATTCCAGATGGTAATCCTTTTTGATTACGTAATCTAAGAAACGTGAGCGGATTTTATCACCGATTTTTGTATTCGTGAATTTTTGCCTGTTACAAGACACGGTACTCTGCTTACTACGACTTGTTGCAAGTCTATATCTGAGTGGCCTTGACACCCCGAGTTGATCCATAATATTTTGTTTTCTAATGCCATTAAGTACAAGGGATATCCTTATATTGAAAATTTTAAATCTCTGAATCTGAACACATTTCTATGATCCAAGTGTATTGAGTTCTTGCGTCTAAAAGGGCTGTTAGATGCCCTTCATATATACAGATTTCATGGGCCGTAGTTTTGTTATGACATTCTACTGTTACTTTATATTAGCTATGACTTGCTGATTTGTATGTTCAAAATATTCTTAATATAGCGCACTCAACCTTCTTTATAATAATATTAATTATACTTCCCTTCTATGATGTAGAGAATTCACTTAAATTTCTAGACTGAAGTTGTCTATACAAGAATTTAATATTGACCTCCAGTAACTAGTGTCTTAGAAAAGTCCCATCCATGAGCGTCCGCGGAAAAATTTCTGCTGATGCCCATTATCACATCTCATTGTTGCTGTTCTAAACTGTTCCTGACTGAAATCCTTCAAATTCTCTCACAACCTGACATTGACTCAAACCAGGCTTTACTCATAACGATATAGCTTCCATGCGTTCTTGCATGCAAGATTAAATATATCCCAACCAATACTAATAATAATATGAAATATTATTAGGATTATGGTCGACAATATCGTTAATGAGGATGACAGTTTACAGGGTGATGCAAAAGCAGCGGACAAACATGGTACTTCTAAGCTTCGATCTTATTATTACTATTCAAAGTTTTATTTGTGTTTGACTAACTGCCTCTTTTTCTATTAGTGTTAACTTCCAATCAAACTACGCATTTAGAACGAAACTAAAATTCAACTGGTATCGGTAATGACTGTAGCTAATTAATTATACTTTTTTACGCTCTTATTTATAAAGATTAGAATGTATTGTTTTATAAGTTATGTAGCCTCGGTAACGGTCGTCGTAACATTTTTAATGTATCTCCTGATGACGCAATGGTAGTCAGTAATAATAATAAATCATATGTAGAGTTTTTTGGGCAGTGTTATTAATTTTGATAATACAAAGCAATTATTTTGGTGTAATTATTTATTCATTAAAATACAAGCTGAAACTGGCCTGTTATTTCGAAGTGGCACGTGGGATGTTGTAGTTTGGTTATATATTAAGTAATAGGTACACTTCATATTTATCATAAGTGAATGGAATGTTAGTTCGATTGTTATTTTCTAAAATCAAGTGGTGATTTACTACTTTATAGATAAGTATGTTTTTGTTGGGTTTTAATATCTCTAGTGTTCTTCAGTATTAGTTATCACTTAAAAACTGTCATAAAAATTCAAATAGACAATCTTTCAAAAAGTTTACAGTAGTATCAGACACATAGGAAAAATGTAGTAAGCCAAATTATTTATCTAAATGTTGGTAACTAAAAAATGGTTATCCACATGGTTAGTGTTAGTATGATACGATTGTTATTTCTGGTTTTGTTAGCGCTAAAACTAATATTGGTATTGCCAACTTGAGATAAGCTAGAACTTTTACTTTGTCAGTTTGTGTCTTGCCTCTTGGTTAATAACCTAGCCTTTATTATTATTTTTCAATAAAATGTATATATTTAAATTCTTTTTTGTTCACAGAGTAGGGCAGAAAATAGCATTACTGTGTATAATTTATATACTCGTCCTGAACTCGCACTCTGGAAAAAAACAACAACATTACACTAATTATTTAAGATAGACAAATAATCCAAAAGTTAACAAATCAGGTTTACGACTGAAAACAGGTTAACACGCTATCTTATGGTGTGAAATGCTGAATAATTAAAACGAAGAAGAGAAAAACATGATACAATTGACAGTGTTATTAAGTGCACATACACACATACATTTTTTAATGTTATTGCACTTATTAAATGTTTTCTTCATTATTATCTGTTTTACTTATTAACAATGTAAACAAATCTATATTTATATGAAACAATTTAACTTTTTTTAAACTGAACTAATTGACAATGAAATCTTAAAAATATTGTTGATGCCCAATTCATTTACAAATATTCTTGTCCGACTTTTTAACAATAATAAACCAAAAATTTAAAGCACACTAACTTCTTAAAAACTTGAACATAGAGAGAAGTTCAAACTGATTAGCCCACAGCTGAAATACTAGTAATATTTATAAGCCTGAGAGAAAGACTGTGAAATTTTCTAGGTACAATTTCCTGACAAAAAATACTTTGATCTTTCCAATTCAATGCAGCATTTTGTGAATTACGAAATCATCATTTTTGATAAAATTAATTCTATGCTTCTAAAAAATATTAGATTAAAATATTTATATTTTTGCAAAAAATAATATAGTCAGATATCATTAATAATTGAGAGTTAATGATTACAACAATGACCTAACAAGTTCACTATGTTAACAGCACAAAATATCAAATTCCACTATTCCTTACAATTGAAAATACAGCTTCCAACAACCGATATTATTTTACTTTCATACTGCTAATTAAAAACAAAACGGTTGGCTGTATTTTTATTCTTTTTTTTTTTATATAACAGACATTTGTTATCTAACTTATACAAAAAGCATTGGCAAGCATTTTGTTTACCTCTGAAAGCATGATGTCACAAATTATTGTAATTAACTAACTAGTATTTGTTCCCAAGCTTTGTATACAACATCATCTCCTAAAGAAGACAACTCACAAATAATTTCAGTACTAAAGTTCAGCACTGAGTCAGTATAAAAATTTTAATGGTACCTTAAACTTCTTGGTAGGGTAAAAAACAAACTAAAAATTATAGAAAATCTACTTCACACAACAAATAATGTAATACAAAGGCACGATTCACACAGTCACATGTGTTGGCACTTATGAAGATATCATGGTTTGTCTGAAAAAGTTTTAAAATAGTTCTATAAAACAATGGAAGATATTAATGAGAACTTCCTTGAATTTAATCAGATAGTATGAAATTAAGTAACTGGTTTAAATGCAAAAGTGTAATATGCATCAGAAACTTTGTTGTCATATATATTTGACACATCAAAACCCTTAAAGTTAAGTAACAGTTATCCAAAAAATAAAGTAATAAACTCATAACTATAATTCTTCACATAAAATTGTTAGTGTCAGACTTAAAGAAATTTATATTTTTCATATCACTATAGTAACATTTCCACCTCTGTACAAGTCCTGAAATACAATCACTAGCTTTCAGAACTCAGAAATGGTGTGTAAAACATATCTGAACTAAATGGAAAAGGTAAAACAAGAGATTACAAACAGCATTTCCAAAAGCAATGAAGAATTATGTTTTTGGAGCACAAATGTCACTGAATTAAAAATAATAATAATGCAATAAACTACAAATTAACCATTCAATTTTAGCTGTTGACACTCATATATATATGTACAAAAAGGAAAGTGTCACTTTTTGTTTCAACCTTTAAAACAAGCAGCAAGATGAAGCTGCACATATAATTTCAATGTATCATCTAACTCAAAAAGCTCAGTTTGTACTGCTTAATCAGATTTAACTTATAATCAAATGCTATGCCCTTTATAAAAGGCTCCACCTAAATGCAGAGGATTTACTCTGTCAGGCCTCCACAGCTTACTTAAGGTTCTAAAACAACCCTTTTGTAACACTCTTCTGGAAGAGCATCTTTAATCTCTTTAATATTTTGTACATCCTTCTTCAACTGTTCAATTTCTTTTTCATAGTCTCGCATCCACCTGTGCTGATCATTACGAGCTTTGCGGAGCTCGTTCATTTGTTTGTCCAAGTTTGGATCTTTCAGTTCTTCTTCTGCCTCAGCAAGTCTTTTTTCAAGTTCTTCCAGCAGACCAAGATCAATGTCATCAAGGTCTTCTACATGGAAAAACAATTACAAGTGTGCATGTGATAATTAGGTATCATTTAACATCTGACATTTAGATAGCTAAACAACATGACAAACTTATAATCCCTAGTTTATTTGTTATTAGTGATTGTCTTAATTTCAAGCTATGAAATTTTTAGTTTTTGATAAAAACAGATATCATAATATTTAACTGCCACACTTCATGTTCTCACTCTTTATGCAGATTTAAGTGATAGTGCATTTCAATTACTTAGAAAATTTACAAATATAAATAATACTGCTTATCTAACAAAATGTTACAAGCATATACAGTACATAGTTAGTGTAATGAATGCAGTATGGCAAAAATGTTTCCAGTGTATGGTTATGACAATAGCATTGTCATTTGCATTTCTGGTAGTATCTAAAAAAATAGTAGATATATATATATATATACACTAGAAAATTACAGAAACAAATACTGCACATTAACTTTTCTTATAGAAATATGTGAATTAAGGTACATTAATTGCAGCCTGATTATAGTATTAAATATTAGTATATCTAAGATTAAGATTTATTTCTTCTTTACAAATCAAATGTATTTACATAATTCTATCAGTACAAATTATTCTTAAAAGTGTAATACAGATATAAATTTCACACAAATAAAAAGAAAAGCCAAATTTAAAATGAAAGCAAAATTGATAATACAGTAAGTTAAGTGTTATATGTCAACTTATCATGAATGAGAAACAAAGTGTAAAGACTATCATAGCTTTAGAATGAATTATCTTACTCAATCAAATCTATAATAATAAGAGGGCATGTCTGTGTGTGATCGCCATAACTCCAAGAGGAAAGAACCTAGAAACCTGAAGTGGTCTCTGAGGGTATGCACCTGGGTACTACTACTTATTTACGTGCATGCGTGTGTGTATCTTTTTATGCAAAAAACCATATAGAAAAGAAATGTGATCACTATAGCTCCAAGGGAAAACAACCTAGAAACCTGAATATTATTACTAATCCATGTGCATGCACATCTTTTTGTCAGGCAAGCTAGTAAAAAACCACATAGAAAAGAATATGTGACTGCCATAGCTTCAAGAGCAAAGAACCTAGAAATCTGAAATTTTGCACCCATACCAAGTGGACCCTGAGGGTATGCACCTGGGTATTATTACTTATCTATGTGCATGTGCACATCTTTTCATGCAAAAACCACATAGTTAAAACACTCTAACATTCTATGGCAGACACATTTCTTTTCTATTATGAGATGTTATAGTGTTACATAGAAAAGCCAGTGCATTTTGGTAACAATGCATTCCAACAATGGCTTTTATGTCATGTTGCTTAGCAACAAAAGTATATAGGTTATACTTTTATGCTAAAATGGGGTCAGAATATAGACACTATCAACCTAATAATCCGAGCGAAACCAGGTATTTTCGCTAGTATTAGATAAAAATTGGAATTTACCTAAAGCATTCATTATCCTATCTACAGCATCCAAACCTCCCTTCACTTTTTTGGAGGCATCTGTGGCACTTGTCTTTGCTTGATTTGCTCTCTTTAGTGCCTGAAAAGTACATTATAATGAGATACTTTCATATTAATTGGTATCACAAACTATCAATCAACAAATTGGGTTTTGATCATCAACATAAGCATTGTACATCATAAAATATTATCATGTTTGATGAAGCAAATTTGACATCTGTTTAATGTCATTTAGCTCAGTGACTGTACTCTAACACACTTGATTCTTTTAGTTTATTGAATAATTTATATAATTTTAATAGCTGAAAATGTCACTTTATGTTGTATGTAAAGAACTGAAATGTGTATCAAGCTCCATTTTTTTTTTCTGAATCTTATGTTCTTTAAAAGAATAGTGAACTCTTTATGTATAAAAATTTAGCATATCTCCACAGAGGAAAAATGTTCTCTATCAGAATAGTTTAATGTTCGAGATGAATTAAGAAATAAGTCTGATATATATATACTAATAATTACCTCTGTGCTATAACTTTGTGATGACCATTGAAATGATCAACAAACAAACAGACAAATGGATGTGACACACTTCACTGAGTATTCTTCCACTGTATAACAGCTTGTATCTAATTTATGATGCTTTTTCTTATAGTTAAACTTACCTCTTCAGCTAATTCTTCATCTTTGTCAGCCTGGTTTTCATAGTCCTTCATTCGATCAGCAGTCTCAGCCACTTCTCCAGCTAAATCATTGGCTTGATCACGTAACTGTCCTGCTTTATCCTTAGTTTGATCTGCATCTTTTCTGATGCCATCTGCTTCCTAACACACAATTAAAAGTTTATAAACATTTTATATAAACCTCAAAAATTAGAACAAGAAACATTAAATAATTTTATTTATAAAAAACCTAAAAATCTGCAAAGGCTATATTTTGTTTCTTTCATGATCAACAGAAAAGTATTGGCTAAATATTTCAAGTTAGCAAACTGCAAGAGAATGTTTCAGATTGTTATACAAAAAAAAAGTTAACTTCTTAAAGCAAGTATGGAAGTTGCAATAATGAATATTACAAACTGAACATGATTCTGAAATTTATTTTTGCATTTAATTGTTTAGCATATGAAACAATTATAACCTTTCCTGAAAAAATTAACCATTTTTAGTGCATTTTGTTATATATTTCTCTGGTAGTGGTTGGAGGAATAAAAAGTACAATTAATGCTTAATGAGATAAGAACAAACATTAAATCATATCGGTAACCTTCATGTTATGAAAATATAGTTCTATTGATCAGTGTTTACATATTTTGATAGCTACAACTACTGTAAAACAAGAATTAGAATATTCCGTAATCATTAAATGCTGTCCTTGGAATGTGGAAAGGAACAACAGTAAAAAACATAAAACAACATTACATAATATTTTGGGACAAAATGGGATCTATTGGTCCATCTCGGCTGTTCCATCCTCAAAACTAAATTAAAATGATTTAATAAAATAAAAAAAATTTTAAACCCAGCCCTTTTCATTCATATACTTATCAAGCCTTTTCTTAAACTCACTTAAATTTACTGCCTCTACAACATCTAAGGGCAACCTATTCCAAAATCTAACTACCATGTTAGAAAAATAA